GCACACAACCTCCTCCACCTGCCACAGTCCAGGTACGCCACACAACTTACACACTTATTTTGTGATTTGATTTTTAGTTTTTTTAATAATACATTGTTTTGTTTATGTACCTGAAATTCTAAGTCACTCAATAAATTATTTTATGTTGATTTAGGTCCCTGACAACCCACCGAATTATATTCTGTTCCTGAATAATCTCCCAGAGGAAACCAACGAGATGATGCTCTCCATGTTATTCAACCAGTAAGTTTTAAACACAGTAAACTTTATGAAAAAAGTAAATGTTTTAGTAATTCATGGCAATGTTTTTCTATAATCTTTTAATTTATTTATTTATTACATCAGAATATTTTTATATGAAAGTCTTTTCGTGTGGATATTAATGTGGAAAACTTTTAAAGGGATAGTTCACCTTCAGTTTCTGGTCCCCATTGGCTTTCATAGTATGGAAAAAAAAACACTATGCAAGTTAATGGGGACCAGCAACTGAAGGTGCAAAAGTTTCCCTTTTGATTAAAAATGCATGAATATTGACATACTTGTATATCACCCAGCTCTTTCAGCTAGATTTTTCTGCTCAGATTTTTTTACTCCCTGTCTTGTTCCATCTGTTCAGGTTTCCAGGGTTTAAAGAAGTGCGTCTGGTTCCTGGAAAGCATGACATTGCGTTTGTGGAGTTTGAGAGTGAGGCTCAAGCCGGAGTCGCGAAGGATGCATTACAGGGATTCAGAATCACAGCCACGTGTGCCATGAAAATCACATATGCTAAAAAATGACCTGGCTCACACTTACCGGACTGTAACTGAGGCTTTGATCAGTGGATCCTCGCCTCTGATTTGTTTGTCTTTACATTCAAAATCACCTTTTTAAAAAGCATGTTTTTTCAGTGACTGTTTAGTATTGTTTTTCTTTTCTTTTTTTTTCTTTTGTATGGGAATGAGTTGGTCACTGAGGACTTTATGATATTCCAGGACAGATCTTTTTGTACTGTGGACTAATAAAATTAGCCTCTAAAATAAATGGCCAATATTTTTATGACATTTTAGTTTTCCGCTCGGGTTTAAAGGAATGGTTCCCAAAAATAAGGCATTATTTACTCACCCTCATGTTGTTCAAAACCATTTTTAGATATACTGTTTCTTTAAATCATAACTGTATGACTTGAGATTAGTTGTAAACTGTCAGGCATGATCTCTGTACCTGACGAAAGGACTGAAATAGTTGGTTTGGCACAAAATAGTGTAACATCCATATGCGTCAGCACTCAAGGCTCTGTAAATTTTGCTCTGAGGTGCAACTCGCTTATGAATTTGGGCACAAGCTGACAGGTGCATCAATAACATCACAACATTGAAAGAAACACTATGGTTATACGGCATACACTGTTCTGCATTTTCATTAACTCTGTATCAAATGTGTGTTTTGTTGATACTTTGCAAAGATGTGCATTTTATTGTAGGCAAACTTGGGGAAACTATCATAAAGCAGCAGAATATTCAACCCAGATTAAATCAGTCATGTTTATATTTTAACAGAGACTGGTCTCATTATTTACACAGCTGGGGATCTGGCCACTGATATTATTAGACATGCAGCTTTTAAAATGTCACGATGAGAGGTTTGCATAATAACTGACAGACACTATCAAATTAGTCCCAGCACACAATGACCCTCCACTAAGTGTCATTTCAATACATAATATAGAAAAAAAAAAAACTTAAACGCTTTCTGGTAAATGGGTTAAATGGACACGAAAACTGTTTCCCTTCAGAGTTTTTTTCAACAGGTCAATTAAACAGGGGAGCTTAAACGATGAGGATGAGCAGTTCTCACAGACTGCTGCATCAACTTTTATGCAACAGCCATGGGAGGAATGAGCAATATGAAACAGACTAAATCAATACCTCAAAAACAGAAGTATTGCTCTCCTCTGAAGTACAGGAATTAGTTTCTGAAAGGCCAAGTAGTGAATATAGGTCTTGAAATTCCTGCACAAAACAACTCTCTCTCTTTGCATCTTTTAAAGAGGAAAAGAATAAAGGATGTAAACAGCCAGAACACCCGAACAACCATATAGCAATGCCATTGCAACCACCCAGAACACTTTAGCACCCTTTCAGCTTAACAATCAGAACACTCTCACAAATGACTACAACAGACTCTACAGGCCACTCAGAGCATGCTAGAAACTGCCTAGTGGCCATTTAGAACACCCTTTCAACAGCCCAGCAACCACCCAGAACCCTCTAGCAAATGACCACAAACGCCCTAGCAACCATATAGCACTGTCATAGCAATCACCCAGAGCACGTTTACAACTTAGCAACCACCCAGAACTCCCTAGCAACTACTGTATATAGCAATGCCACACTAATCTGATTACGTAATCAGATTCCAAAAATTCACAACATTCATAAAATGGCAGTAAATTAATCATAATTGATTGATTCTCTTTTTCTCTCTTAAAGTTTCCTTGCCAAAATTCCTACTGTGCATCATACCATTTAGCTTTGACTATATTCACAATATAGTGAATCTAGTCCCCTCAATATAGACCCCTCAAGCAATTAGACCATGTAGGAAACAAATCATTTAGCAAGTTACTGAACACTGGTGATGCATAGCGGTGAAACACTATGTCTTCATCAAATCCAGTGACCTTCAGTAATTGTTGGTTCTGGAAGTCTGAACAAAAATATTTCAAACCTGGAAGACTTTGGGCGTGTAATTTTCATGTTTGTGTATTAATGTTTGTTCATGTAATGCAGGGATTTCCAAACATTTTTGTCAGCGAAAACCCTTTGCCATAACTTGAAATATCCCTGAGGAAGTTAATATTTCAATAAATTAACAAGACATTCGCATGTCCACAGTTCTCTGAGGTCAGTTAATGGTCACATTTACATGCAGGTAAACAGTGTTTAAGGTTTTTATGATTGAATTAATTATTAGCTTTTTATCAACTCACAAACTCTGGTTTGCGAAACCCTGGTGTAACGTAATGTTTAATACACTTCATGATGTTGATATCAAATAATGTACTATAGTTCTTTCTCTTTTTTAATATAAATATGGTACATTTAATGGTAAGTTTACAACAAGTTAGGTAAAAAGTAATCTAAAAGTAATCTAAAAAGTAGTCAGAATAAATTACCTAAAATGAGTAACCTAGATAACGTTACTGACTACAATTTTCATCATGTAATCTGTAATCTGTAACGGACTACAATTTGTAAGTAATCTACCCAGCTCTGCTTACAAACAACCACAGATGCCCTAGCAACCAAACAAAACACCCTAACAACCACTGCAACCACCCAAAAGGTTTACAATGATTTAACCGTGCAACTTTGCAGTTGTGGTCAGTTAACTGCGTAAAATAGTTCAGCAAGTCTTCTTATAAAGATAACGAGAAGATATCAGTGACTGTCATCCCTGATTCACTCTCTAAATGAGCAGACTACCGATCTCTCGTCGTCATGACAGCCCAATCATCTCTCTCCACGCCGCTCTGACATCAGGTAGCCTCACACAATCTGTGAAGTAACTCAAGCGTGCTGGACATTCAGACAGTGTGTTTGGGACGGCCATGGGAGGCGTCTGCTTTGCTGCTGCTGTCAGACGAGTTCACCGGGTCTCTCGTGCAGGTTAATGGAGGTACACAGCTGTCCACCATTAAAGCCTCACTGCTTCTTCACTTCCTGTTATAATGAGCTTCACTCATTATGATGGGTACGTTCTAATTTTGTCCTGCTGCTTTGCTCATTCACACCGTCTCTACAAGATCACTGTTTGATATTCAGCTGCTTGTGGATTGTGGAGTGATTTAGAGAAAGGGAGGGATATTTTTGTCCATGCAGCAATCTATACTCTCCTATCAGAGCTGTACATTCTGTATGAAAAGGTAATATAATACAAAGTATAGTGTTATAAATGTAGCGTACATTTTCTAAAAAAATAAATTAAAAAAAACTGTGGAGGATTTACGATGCTGATGACCGTTGAAACGCGTCATCACGGTCTTGTGAAAAGCTAATAGACCAATTACCGGTTTGTAAACATTCAGGATGCGCGCGCATCATGGTTGCAGAAAACCCGGGAGAGATAGCCTTTACAGCTAGAGAATTTCACGGAT